CAAAATTTGAGTTGCAAAATTTGATCTGGACAAACAAATGGACAAGAAAGCGAGTTAATAAAAACGTGTTAATGACTGTCCACAAGTAAAGGATCTAGGATTAAGATACAAATTGAAAAAAGTATATGCAGATGAAATACTTTCTTATGAGACAACCTTCCCACTTATACTTATTCATTATTTCAAAAAATCAAAAAATTATTTGCGAAATACTGTTCACCAGAATAGAAAGCCCTCCTTCTTGATTGGACCTGAAGAATATCCAAGAAGTATATGTCATATGTTATTTCTTTTTTGAACACTTCATTTCCTCTGTACAAATTTTTGTTTCTTTCATGAAGTTGAAATGCGGCATCAATGTTTTCTTTCTATGTTACCAATTCTGGAATTATCCCTGCATGTAATATGCACCATATCATGGCTAAAAATTTGTCACACTGAGGTTACAGCGTGAAATCAGCTTCAAGAAATAACATTTTTCCAACATTTAGTGTGTATCAAAAACTGCTGAAAACAACTAGAAAATGAAAATAAACCAAATTATCATTACAACAAGTACCATTACCACACAAGTTTCACTATATAACAAACTTTTTCCTAGTCCCACAAGAAGCACTATAGAGTACATGTTATAGCAATCATGATTATACAAAAAACTCTCCATCACACATTTTTTTTAGGTGTATGATGTTGTCATTCATCTTCTTAATGAAAAATCCCCAATGAGGGTGAGCTCAGTCCAACATTTCCCATTCCAAATTGAACTGTGGCTGGTTTGTGGAGAATGAATGGAATCTAGAAGGAAGACAATTCTTCAAACTTGAGCCAAAAAAAAATAAAATGTCTTGGGGTTTAGAAAAATCGGTGGGCGGGGGAAGTGGAATAAAAAGAAAGGAAAAGCAAAACTGATGTTAAAACAGGGGTTTTGGATTATTGAGAAAGCTTATTCTGATGCTCAACAACTTTCAGCTTCTTTGAATCATATCCACCCTTACAACTTTGTGTATAAGAACAGCTTAGAAAAACTTGAAGACCACAAAAACAGCTAGAGTTTACCTTCATTCCATTCTACATTTATATAGTTGGCATTTGGATTTGTTGTTGAAGTTCATAGTTTTTTAAACACTGAAAAGCACCCAAAAAGGCCATAAAAGGAAGATCTTGATTATATACCGGTTTAAATTGTAACATTCTTCTCAGTTAATAACTTCAAAAATCTTGTTTCAACACAGTGTTTTCCAGCATAAAGTTTTTTAATGTGTGAGGTTGTTGGAATTAGGTTCAACTGTACCCTGGGTGAGCAAGACAGATGGAATTGTGTTCATTCCCGCATACAGGAAAGCATGATTTCTCCACCAGTACAATCCCAACATCTATACTCATGGCTATGGAAGACGCACCATGTATGTGTATGCCAACAGTCGCTAGAGGTCGCATGTTGCTGGAGCTGAAGGCATCAAACTTGGATGTTGATGACTTGGTGGTGCGGTTGCCCCTGAGCAGCTTGTGGTTGAAGAAAACAGTGACTTCAGGGATGTTGAAGTTTCCTGCCATGATCAGTGCACCTATGAAATTGTCTCGGCCATCACTGAGTGTCTCAAACATGGGAACCTATTCACGAGGATGCGCATAAAAAAAGAAGACGACGGCATTTGGATGGTAAGGATTTGACTGTTTATATAAAAAACAAGAGTCACATGATGATATTGCACATAAGGATTTTCAGACTGTTTGCAAATGAGGTTTTTGCACTTTTAGCAAGATTACTCCATTATTGTAGAAGCTTAAACTATATTCACTCAAGTACCACATGCACGTTTCCCCAAGATTTCAGAGGAATAAATGGGTGCAGTTTGAATAAATATAAAATTTTAACAGTATATAAATTTTTCAAAAATGTTTGGGAGTTATTTAGGTATGTGCCGTATTATTATTGATTCCAATGGGATATTGTGGACTGAATCTAACAGAAAAACTAATTTTGATAGAAGAAATTGAAATTTAGTTAAATTCACGGTCAAATCATGTCCAATTTCAAAATTGTGGAGTTTTTATTTATAAAATGATACTGCTTAAGACTATTAAGAGTCGCTAAAATTAAGTGCATGTTTTACTTGGGGATACAATTTTATTTAAAAAATAGTAATAATCTCAAATCCATTGTACACATATTACTTAGAAGAGGTGTGGTGAGTATTGAATATATAAATTATGTACATGAATGAGTATTTCAACTCTCACACATGCATCCAATCACAGCTTATCAATCAAATTACCTAATGATTGTCAAACTTATGCACAACAAGTTTTGAGAACACTTCATATGCCTCATGTTTCTGCACACAGCTCCCATCAGCTGATTTAGTATATCTAGGCCCTGTGAGTAGGTGAAAATTTGCCTGAAGTATCCTTGGGAGAGAAGCTAACTTTTGTTTTTCATTACATAATTTGAACTACCATTATCTCTTCAAATTTTCAGATATAAATAAAAGACTTCATTGAATATTTTGCTAAATGTGTTATACTGAACATTTCTTGCAGGCCAGAAAGAAATTTCTGCAGACCTGGCCAGTAAACAGAGCAAGGTTTGGGAACACTAGTTTGAAAGATAGTAAGATTTAGAAAATTAAATGCTAAATGTTGTGGAAATATTAAAAATTGGTCTTTATCTGGACAAGTTGTCCCCAGCCATTACCAAGGGCCAAGACCCATTATCATGCAGTTTTAGGGGTTCACATGCCAAGTGTCTCATATCTTGGGTTCCCATAATACTGTACTGACATTCATCAAGAGCAATATTATACTGAATTATCATGGCTACAATGGAATGACACCTGTGAACCAGTGAGGATGACAGTTTTGCCCAGGTTCTCCAGCATGAATGACAGTGCAGATGCCGTGTAGGCCATAGTGTCCGTGCCATGGAGAACGACAAAGCCATCATACAAGTGGTACATGGTCTGAATGTCTTCAGCAATGCGAACATAGTCGTCCATGGTCATGTTGGATGAATCCAAGATTGGCTCATACTCCAGCACAGTATAAACGACTCTTTTGGGCTCCCGTGTTTCCCTGCAAAAAAAAAAAGGAGCCAGAAAAATAAACGCATGAATTCTTCTTCCTGCAAATTTTATTGCAGTTTATTATACTGTAGATCATTTCCCCAGCGCGGGGACTGGCATATTTCCACAAAAGAAAAAAAATTCCGCATACTGGTAAATGTATGGGAAAAATATTTCTGCAAACTTTCAGATTTTCATCGAATTTTTGCAGACTCAGAATTTTTTTAATGACTGCTTGGCAGGTATTGAAAAGTACAGTATCTGCTTTTCGGCAAAAATCCAGTTTATAACCGCTGAAGAAGCCATAGCGGAATGTCTTCGAAAAAATAGAAAGGTGTTCTTGAAGAAAAGATTTTCAGAGATACAATTTGATTTACAGTATTTTATTTTAATAGGTAAAAATTTGTTTAAAGCATTAAAAGGAGAAAAGCCAACTTTTATTATAAGTTCAACTGATGAATGTCTCTTCAAAATTCCAGATACAGTCAACGAACTCCATGGCTACCTTTGATAACTTCACCATGCTGAAAACAAAATTCCTTTTGACCAGCACCATGGGAATATATGTTCAACTGCCACATAGAATATAACTGTATAAGAGAGTCTTCTCACGGAAGGACGAGTGGAGTCACAGTCCCCTCATTCGAACTGTTGGTGGAGTCTCTTTTGGTACTGCTGATGGTTCTCATGGTCCCAGTACCAGCAGTAGGGTATGCATGGTAATGGTCAGCATATTTGACGTCATGGAGGTGCGGATATGAACGGATGTGTTGCTCCAGTTGTTTCGGAGCAGGCGCAAGAACTGCATTATATTCATTTCTCAAATTTAATTCATTCTGGAGACTCACAATAAACTAGGCTTTTAAAGTGTGTTTAGACCCATGTGCTCTCTAACCTTTTTGGGATTGTAAATGGGCATATTTCCCTAAACTTTTGTGCAGACTAGTAAAGTTTTTTTTTAATGTTCGCAGACTCAAAAGAAATTTTGCTTGAAAGACTTCATCGCAGGTGCATTTGAAAGATTGTTTTTTTTTTCGTCAATAAATTGTTAAAAACTAATGGAGGCTCTATAATGGAATGCCATTGAAAATTAAAAAGGTAGGATTGAAGATAGGTTTTCAGAATTAGTATTTTAAATNGCATCCAAACCCCCTCCCCACCCAACCCAACTCCCCCCAAAGACATTCAATCCCTTCAAAGCATGAAACAAAGCACAAACCAATGACAAAAACAGAAGAGAACACACTCCACAAAATGAAACTGGACATCCTACATGTATGTTGCATACACCCACCCATCCCAAATATTGAAGACAAAGCAGCAGTAAAAGTTTATTTAGAGTACAAGGTCTTCAGTCTGTTTCTGTATGAGTTTTAGTTCAATGAACAATTTAGAGAGAATCTTTGGTGAGAAATCCTGTAAGGCCAAAAATTTATCTTGATCCTTTAAGATTTCAGAAAGTGTCTCTTCATTGAATTTCAGTAATTTTAAATCTTTCTTAAGCTGATTTATATCCCTTTGAAATGCTGGACATGAGAAGAGAAGGTGCTCTGGTGATGCACAAACTAATGTATTTATGCTGCAGGAGTTACACCACTTAGAAACCTTTGAGAGTTGAATGAATTTTTTACTAAAGTGCCAGGAATTTGTTAAAATAGCTACAGCATCATGTATTAATGGGATGTCAAATAAAGCTTATTTTAAATCAAATCAAATCAAATATACAAGGCTTGGCTTAATCATTGGGTCTAACTGCATAGTGTATATATACAGTAGAATTCCATCACAACACATCTTGTTATGACAAATTTTTCATTACAACTTGTTATTGGTTCTGGCAGTTTCCCATGTGTGTAATTTTATAAAAATCTCCTTACAATTAACTAATTTTGAGCTGTGGTCTCATTACAGTATACAAATTACAGTGCAGCATTCCAATCACATCAAAAAGTAATTGTTTTTTCAAAGAAAACTTGCTGTTCCAAAAATACTAAACATGATGTATTGCTTGGAAATTCAGCAGTTCAATTCTAGATTATATGCTTTTCTCTAATACTGTATATACAGTATGTTTGAGAGAATTTTCCTCTGTCAACAAGAACATGCATGAATGAAAATTTGTATTCAGAAGGAAGCATTCCTCTCACATTTACTCATGTTCAATGCATACATTGTATATTTTGAGACAATTGTCACTTTTTATTAGAAGGGCAGGTTCAGTAGAGGGAAAGTACTATTTATTCCAAGTTTTCATTCCATTTCATCAGGAATACTCATTATTTATGATAGAAAATTGCATGATTTGTTTTGGAAGCACTTGAAAGTATAGTACAATATATTTTGCCCCTTTCCCACAAAATGTTAGTCCAAATTTCGCTAGAAACAAAGAATCTCAATACATCAAATTTTGTGTTATAATAATTCTTGTACCAAGTCCCTGGGAGTTCATTGTAACACAACTTTACTGTATGAGCAGTAAATGTGACAAATGTTTTGATTTATGGTGAAACACCATAATTTGCAGTGGTTTATTCACCTCAGATTCTTCCTTTGAAATGGCAACACGTCCAATGGCACAAGATCCATCAATGAGGATGATTTTTCAATCTCTTGCTCCAGGTCAGCATTGTTGGTGCTGCCTGCTGCTGCAGTTGTACCAGACCATTGTCGCACAAAGAAACTTGCTCTGTTATTATCATGCTGGGTTCTACTCTTTGACATCCTGCTGCAAATTCCAGCAGTTCTTCCTATTGCTGTTGTTGATGATGATGATTTCCTAAGCGGATGGACACACCCCTACCATGAACATCAAGAACACATTGGTTATTGAAAATACCAAAAGTAAATCCCTCTGAAGGTGATTATTCTTTTCAACACATATTTCTGTTAGTTAGTCTGTTAGGCGACAATTAATGGGAAATGAATCATACCCTTCTTGTGCAGAAGTTGATGTGATCTATTGTTGCTCCTGCTTTGAGGGCATCGTTGAAGGTCCCCTTGAAGAAATGGAAAAATTTTGATTGCATGACTATTCTATATTTATCAACTGCACTTTACTGAGCTTAGCCGATTGGAATAATGGAATAAAGTCATGCAAGCATAATTCATGATCATGAAAATTTCCTGCAGACATACCATGGAGCACTGTAAATTGATTTCTAAATTATGTTCATACAGTAATTTCATGTTCACAACGAATTGAACTATTAAAACACTGATTGAGGATATTCGCTATTTAGGATACATTAGCTTTAGATTCTTTAATCAGGAAATTCTTAATTTAAAAAATAACAAAAAGAACGTGATGTACAGTAC